CTGCCACAGACAGAAGGGTATAGTTTCTCCAAGAAGCAGAAATTATACTTACCTGTTGGATACCGCTATAAACCTGTAAAGGATCCTTGTAGCCGTGTCATTGTTATAGTACTGCTGTTAAGAAGGCCACAATACTGTAATACTACTCAGATATCTGTTAGATATATCTGGCAGGTTACTCAGATAATCAACAGATATATCCAGATATAAAATTCTACCAGATGTACCTGTGTAAACATAACAAGCTTTCATTCTGATTGGCTAATTTTTGTAGATTATCCTGTTATATTGCCAAAATATCATTGATTAATTGAGATTATTCATAATTATTAAATATTTACTGCTATTTTCAAAATTCCTGGAACATCTGATAAAAATTGACTGAATGATTTTTGGCCGTTCCAATTAAGTCATTGATTTTGGTATGATAGATACAATCTAAATTACATTATATACATATACATTGTAATTTGATTATATATATATATGTTTTCGCACAAACTAAGCTGTTGGGCAAGTGTTCAAATGAAAATTTAATAATACTAAATGTGTTAGCATTTAAAATTATCTGCAGAACTAGTATCATGGCTTTTATATACGGATAGAAATTTGCATAATTTTATATATAAGTTTTTGGCATATAATATTTGTATATAAATAGCGTTGGTCAAAAACTTTGTAAAGCTAACATATAAATTCTAGTAGTGCTGATAAAACTTTTGCACTATTTAATTGCTAATATAAAAGTTATGTATATACGTACTTATGTGTATATGTACAATTTTGTATTTTTATTGAATTTATGGTGCAGGAAGTCTATACTCAACAGTTATACGAAGTGTTTCAATATTTTAAATAGCTATAACTTTTTATCTAAGAGGTTTTAAAAAAATTTGACTAGTAACTTTATAGAGCTATATTAGTACTACATATGTACCAAATATCTTTTCAAAATTTCATTACTGTAATGAGTTGTAGCTTTTTGAAAATTGAAATTTTATATATAAATTTGCAAATTTACATATAAAATTTCAATTTTTAAAAAGCTTCAACTTATTATAGTGATAAGATTTTGAAAAGATATTTGGCACATATGTAGTGCTAATATAGCTCTATAAAGTTACTGATCAGATTTTTTTAAAACCTTTTAGATAAAAGTTATAGCTATTTAAAAAATTAAAACACTTTATGTAACTGTTGAGTATAGACTTCCTGCTTTATATTATTCTGAAATTACAAACTTAATCAAATCAGCTGGAGTACCATTCAGTTAATTTTTATCAGGTGTTCTAGAAATTATGAAAATAGCAGCCTTCTGTGCTTATCTACTCAGGTATTATCCTAATATATCTATCCGGATATTATCCGAGTATGTTTATCTAGGTAGCTGAGTATACAACCTAGATATCTAATTATTTGCAGATAAACCGGATAATATCCAACCCGGGTATTATCACTATCTTGAGTTATATAATAATTTAAATATTTTAAAAACTCGCTTATTAGTATTTAATATAGCAATGATAAACACTATAATTTAATTATTCAGAATGGTATATAAGTTTTACCTCAGATTACTGCTTGCATTAAATATCATTTTGCCTAAGTATAATTGCTACTCTAATAGTGATAAATTTTTGTGATGGTAAGTAAAGATATAGTGATATGGTTTTATATTATACTTGAATTGCCTACAATAAGCAAAGATTAATAAAATGCACATATATATATATCTTAGTTACTATATTGTTAATCAACATCTTATATATAATATATGAACCAATCAAACTACTTATTTATCTCTTATGTTTTATCACACCATAGCTTCTTAATATTTTATAGATAGTTATTAATAATTTGAAGATGTGAAACACCAAAAAGCAAGCATATTTTAGATAGTTTTTTTTGAGATCAAGTCTTTTCTGCTATTTGGTAGACTTTCTAAGTTATTTAGCATCTAAAACAAAATGATATTCTAGAAACTGGTCTTATTTTTGTGTATATTGTTGTTAACGAAGTTTAAGAAATATAATATACCAAGAGTCAAGTTTTTCTTCTATACTATCAACAGACTCTCCAAGTTATTTAGTATTCAAATTAGAAAAGCTATTTTGAGAAAGTTGAAGCTTGAAAAATTGCTTATACAACTATAAAACTTATAAAAGAACATTATATACTCTCATTGATCCTCTGCATTTTTTTGATGAAAATTTTGTAAAACTGTAGATAATTTAGCTTACTCTTTCCAAAAGATCAATATATTATTTACTTACCAAATCAGTCACATTGTTTACTTTTTTATCTATTACAACAAATATATAGATATATAGATTATATATCTCAAATGTAACAATCTGGACAAACAATGATTCGAAACTATTAGTGCAAATTTTTAACTTTTCTGACCTTTCTACAATACTAATGTTGAAAAAGCTATTTTTTTTTTACTCTATTAGTTGTTTTTTTTTTATCTTAGATATACTATATATATACTGTAAATTAAAATAGTGACTAGTTTTTTTTTTTTATTTTTTTTTTATTTATAATTTTGCCATATATATGATAAAATTAGTTACAATTTTTCTATTACGATGATATATTAATCTAACTATCTATTTATATCTTGTATAACCACTTTTATATAGCAAATCACCTCTAATTTTCTATTAAAGAACTAGTCTAAGATATAACTAATTATAGGAATGAAAAGAGTATCTCCCAACTAGTGGCTTCTGTTATATATACTTTTTAACAGGTGACATAGTTTTCTTCAGATTTCAATTAAAGAACTACAGGAGAATTTTTTATCAGATGAATTCTATACCTTTACAGGCAGGTTACACCACTTCTAAATTACCTTGCCCTTATGGAGTTTACCCATATACTTAAAGATGTACTACCTCTCCATTCGGGTCTTGCTAAATGGGCGTCCATCTTGCCTAAGTTCTCAGGATTTATGTGGCCACAGGACTTATCTTGGGTTTGCACTATACTTAACCGGCTTGCATTTTTTTGTGTAACTTATACGTTATATAAACACCATGTGGGTCCTCTCACTTTTTAGATTAGTGGATACCAGATTACAAGACCTAAGCCCCAACTTTGATAGGCACTATGTAGCATAGCCTTAACTAAGAAGATTGTAGCTGTAACACAAGTAGAATTTGAATTTTTTCATTGTTAGTGGGATTCGAACCCTAGACATGCCGCTTGGGGAGTGACAACTTGACCACTTCACTAAGTCACTACACCCTTTAGTAACTAGTTTAAATAATAATACTGTATATAATTTTTATAAAGCCTAATACAGACTTATAATTGTGATCATTTAAAAAAACTATATTTAGTTTAGATTTTTTTGTTTTTTTCTTATCTCTTTCTTTTCTTATTTGTACTTTTTTAATATTATTATTTATTCTTCTGTATTATTTTTAAAAATTTTTTTTTCTGCTTTTTATGAAAAGATATCATCAGATTGGTGGAATCCGATTGTAGAGCAATAGTCAAATGAGCTTTCAGTTAGAATATTATCTTAATTAATTATATCTTGCCAGTGTAGTAGTATTATCTATAGATGCTCTAGTAGCAGTTAATAATTTGTAAAGTAGTTATAGAATATTAGAACCATTAATTTAATATCATGAGTTATAGATAAGAGTTTGTAATTCTGTAGTTTTTCACAAGACTTGGCTTTATTAAACAGAGTTACTAATGCAAGCTATCTAAGTAAAAAAAAATAGTAAACCTTTAATTTTATTAGAATAGTTTTGGACAGTGTAATTTATTACTTGATTTTTTTTATCAGAAGTTTATTAGCTTATAGGACTCTGAATATATATAAATAGGTCAAGTTAGAGTTTGCTTAATTTTGACCTTTTTTTGTGCAGATTATTTTTATTTATAATAATTAGTTGCACTTTTTTTTCAGATCTTTTTATATTTAGTAATTTTTGTAAAACCTTATTTTTCAATATATAGTTCAGAGTCTTAGCTTACTCCAAGACCTCAAAAAACTCTGATATAACTCAGATATTATTAAAAGAAAATTACTACGGTTAACAGGCTGTGAAATTCACAGGTCTGCATTAACCAATCATTTAATCTGTTTTTTCGATTGCCAATGCAAGGTTGAATAGTCTCACCCCGCATTACCAGATCCGGATAGATAAGTATACAGTATAGATAATCGTACATATTGTTTTTTTTTTTAACCTCAACGATCTTGTATTCTTTTTTTATTTTTTTGCTTCGCCTCTTTGCTTTGCTTTTTACTTCGCTTTCTGCTTCACTTTTTGCTTTGTTTTTGCTTTGCTTTTCACTTGTCTTGCTTTTTGCTTTGCTCTTTGTCTTGCTTTCCACTTTGTTTTTCACTTTGCTTTTCGTCTTGCTTTTCGCTTTGCTTTTTGCTTCGACTTTTGCTTCGCTTTTCATTTCGCTTTTTGCCTCGCTTTCTCTTTGCTTTTTGTTTCGTTTTTTGTTTCACTTTTTGCTTCGCTTTGAACAGGTTTGTATTTTTTTTTTTTTAGTTTCTTTTCTTTTATTTTGAAACCAACAATTTTTTTTTTCTTTTTTTTTTCCTTTCTTTTCTTTATTTCGGGGGTTTTTTTTTTGTTTCTTTTTCCTTTTCATTTCTTGTTCATTTTCCTTTCTTTTCATTTTTTTTCATTTTATTTCTTTTTCTGTTCGTTTCTTTTTTTTGTTCCTTCTTCCCATTTCTTTTCTTTTTGCTTTTTATTCCTTTACCTTTTTTCCTTCTTTTCCTTTTGTCTTTTTTTCTTCTTTTTTTTTTCATCTTTTTTCTTCTTTTTTTTTTCGTCTTTTTTTTTTTCATTTCTTTTTCTTTTCATTTCGTTTTGTATTTCTTTTCGTTTCTTTTTCCTTTTTGTTTTTTTTTCCTTTTGGTTTCTTGTTTGCTTTCATTTCTTTCTATTCCCATTTTTTTCTTTTCTTTTTATTCATTTTGTCTTTTTTTCTTTTTTTTTTCTTCTTTTTTCCTTTGTTTCTTTTTTTTTTTTAAAGTATAGCTTCGTCGTTGGAGTCGTCGTTGGAGCCATTGTTGGATGTTTGGGTTGTGAAGATTTGGTGACTAAAACTGGGATCTTGTAAGATAAGTAGTTTCTTTTTTTTTTTTTTTTTCTTCCTTTGAACTAATACTAACTTTTTGTAGGTTTGTCACCTGAGAGGCCAGACACTAGAAATTAGAATCAGGATTTTGCAAGATACGTTTTTTTTTTCATTCACTTTTTTTTTTTTGCTTTTCTTTCTTTGAACTAACACTTTCTTTTTTTTGTAGGTTTGCTTTAGTGGAAAACCGAGTATTGGAGATAAGAATCAGGATCGTTCTGAGCTTTCGTCATTTGGTACTGTCATTTAAGGAGTATAGAGGCTCTGGCTTTCGTCATTTGGTGCCGTCGGTTAAGAAGCATGAAGATTCTGGGCTTTCGTCTTTTGGTGCTGTAGTTTTGAGGCTTTTGTCGTTTTGGTGCTGTCGTTTATGGAGTATGGAGATTCTGGCTTTCGTCGTTTGGTGCTGTAGTTTTGGGGCTTTTGTCATTTCGGTGCTGTTGTTTATGGAGTATGGAGATTCTGGCTTTCGTCAGTTCCATAGTTTGTAGAGATTTTGCGCTATAGGTCTGTCATTCCGGTTGAATCTTGGATATAATAATCTTGGATCAGAAGAAGGAAAAGCATTAGCTGATGCACTTTCCAAAAACTCCACGCTAATGATGCTGTCATTACAAAACCTTTGTCGCTTCGGGTGTTGCCATGATATCATTGTGATATCATAGATTATGGTTTTTTTTTGTGATTTTTAGTTTTTTTTTTTTTCTTGTAGTTTTTAGTTTTTTTTTTTTTATACAGTAGTTTTTTTTATGATGTAATTAATTGTAATTGATTCGATGACGATAAGTTTAATAAATTAAAAAATTGTGTAATCGGTATTATTTGATCAGATATGAACTTTTCTGAATAAAATTTTATCGTTATTAAGTAATGCAGTAATATAATCGGCTAATAAAAATTGGTCACGCGAGATATCTTCGAAGTTGGTTTAAAAATTTTGGCGCAGTTTCTATGTAATAGGCGTTTAGAAATTCTCTAAAACTTTGATCGAAGATATCTCGGCACCCACTCGATCAAATTCGATGAAAATTTTTTTATTCGAATTCTACAGATCTGTAGAATTCGAATAAAAAAATTTTCATCGAATTTGATCGAGTGGGTGCCGAGATATCTTCGATCAAAGTTTTAGAGAATTTCTAAACGCCTATTACATAGAAACTGCGCCAAAATTTTTAAACCAACTTCGAAGATATCTCGCGTGACCAATTTTTATTAGCCGATTATATTACTGCATTACTTAATAACGATAAAATTTTATTCAGAAAAGTTCATATCTGATCAAATAATACCGATTACACAATTTTTTAATTTATTAAACTTATCGTCATCGAATCAATTACAATTAATTACATCATAAAAAAAACTACTGTATAAAAAAAAAAAAACTAAAAACTACAAGAAAAAAAAAAAAACTAAAAATCACAAAAAAAAACCATAATCTATGATATCACAATGATATCATGGCAACACCCGAAGCGACAAAGGTTTTGTAATGACAGCATCATTAGCGTGGAGTTTTTGGAAAGTGCATCAGCTAATGCTTTTCCTTCTTCTGATCCAAGATTATTATATCCAAGATTCAACCGGAATGACAGACCTATAGCGCAAAATCTCTACAAACTATGGAACTGACGAAAGCCAGAATCTCCATACTCCATAAACAACAGCACCGAAATGACAAAAGCCCCAAAACTACAGCACCAAACGACGAAAGCCAGAATCTCCATACTCCATAAACGACAGCACCAAAACGACAAAAGCCTCAAAACTACAGCACCAAAAGACGAAAGCCCAGAATCTTCATGCTTCTTAACCGACGGCACCAAATGACGAAAGCCAGAGCCTCTATACTCCTTAAATGACAGTACCAAATGACGAAAGCTCAGAACGATCCTGATTCTTATCTCCAATACTCGGTTTTCCACTAAAGCAAACCTACAAAAAAAAGAAAGTGTTAGTTCAAAGAAAGAAAAGCAAAAAAAAAAAAGTGAATGAAAAAAAAAACGTATCTTGCAAAATCCTGATTCTAATTTCTAGTGTCTGGCCTCTCAGGTGACAAACCTACAAAAAGTTAGTATTAGTTCAAAGGAAGAAAAAAAAAAAAAAAAAGAAACTACTTATCTTACAAGATCCCAGTTTTAGTCACCAAATCTTCACAACCCAAACATCCAACAATGGCTCCAACGACGACTCCAACGACGAAGCTATACTTTAAAAAAAAAAAAGAAACAAAGGAAAAAAGAAGAAAAAAAAAAGAAAAAAAGACAAAATGAATAAAAAGAAAAGAAAAAAATGGGAATAGAAAGAAATGAAAGCAAACAAGAAACCAAAAGGAAAAAAAAACAAAAAGGAAAAAGAAACGAAAAGAAATACAAAACGAAATGAAAAGAAAAAGAAATGAAAAAAAAAAAGACGAAAAAAAAAAGAAGAAAAAAGATGAAAAAAAAAAGAAGAAAAAAAGACAAAAGGAAAAGAAGGAAAAAAGGTAAAGGAATAAAAAGCAAAAAGAAAAGAAATGGGAAGAAGGAACAAAAAAAAGAAACGAACAGAAAAAGAAATAAAATGAAAAAAAATGAAAAGAAAGGAAAATGAACAAGAAATGAAAAGGAAAAAGAAACAAAAAAAAAACCCCCGAAATAAAGAAAAGAAAGGAAAAAAAAAAGAAAAAAAAAATTGTTGGTTTCAAAATAAAAGAAAAGAAACTAAAAAAAAAAAAATACAAACCTGTTCAAAGCGAAGCAAAAAGTGAAACAAAAAACGAAACAAAAAGCAAAGAGAAAGCGAGGCAAAAAGCGAAATGAAAAGCGAAGCAAAAGTCGAAGCAAAAAGCAAAGCGAAAAGCAAGACGAAAAGCAAAGTGAAAAACAAAGTGGAAAGCAAGACAAAGAGCAAAGCAAAAAGCAAGACAAGTGAAAAGCAAAGCAAAAACAAAGCAAAAAGTGAAGCAGAAAGCGAAGTAAAAAGCAAAGCAAAGAGGCGAAGCAAAAAAATAAAAAAAGAATACAAGATCGTTGAGGTTAAAAAAAAAAACAATATGTACGATTATCTATACTGTATACTTATCTATCCGGATCTGGTAATGCGGGGTGAGACTATTCAACCTTGCATTGGCAATCGAAAAAACAGATTAAATGATTGGTTAATGCAGACCTGTGAATTTCACAGCCTGTTAACCGTAGTAATTTTCTTTTAATAATATCTGAGTTATATCAGAGTTTTTTGAGGTCTTGGAGTAAGCTAAGACTCTGAACTATATATTGAAAAATAAGGTTTTACAAAAATTACTAAATATAAAAAGATCTGAAAAAAAAGTGCAACTAATTATTATAAATAAAAATAATCTGCACAAAAAAAGGTCAAAATTAAGCAAACTCTAACTTGACCTATTTATATATATTCAGAGTCCTATAAGCTAATAAACTTCTGATAAAAAAAATCAAGTAATAAATTACACTGTCCAAAACTATTCTAATAAAATTAAAGGTTTACTATTTTTTTTTACTTAGATAGCTTGCATTAGTAACTCTGTTTAATAAAGCCAAGTCTTGTGAAAAACTACAGAATTACAAACTCTTATCTATAACTCATGATATTAAATTAATGGTTCTAATATTCTATAACTACTTTACAAATTATTAACTGCTACTAGAGCATCTATAGATAATACTACTACACTGGCAAGATATAATTAATTAAGATAATATTCTAACTGAAAGCTCATTTGACTATTGCTCTACAATCGGATTCCACCAATCTGATGATATCTTTTCATAAAAAGCAGAAAAAAAAATTTTTAAAAATAATACAGAAGAATAAATAATAATATTAAAAAAGTACAAATAAGAAAAGAAAGAGATAAGAAAAAAACAAAAAAATCTAAACTAAATATAGTTTTTTTAAATGATCACAATTATAAGTCTGTATTAGGCTTTATAAAAATTATATACAGTATTATTATTTAAACTAGTTACTAAAGGGTGTAGTGACTTAGTGAAGTGGTCAAGTTGTCACTCCCCAAGCGGCATGTCTAGGGTTCGAATCCCACTAACAATGAAAAAATTCAAATTCTACTTGTGTTACAGCTACAATCTTCTTAGTTAAGGCTATGCTACATAGTGCCTATCAAAGTTGGGGCTTAGGTCTTGTAATCTGGTATCCACTAATCTAAAAAGTGAGAGGACCCACATGGTGTTTATATAACGTATAAGTTACACAAAAAAATGCAAGCCGGTTAAGTATAGTGCAAACCCAAGATAAGTCCTGTGGCCACATAAATCCTGAGAACTTAGGCAAGATGGACGCCCATTTAGCAAGACCCGAATGGAGAGGTAGTACATCTTTAAGTATATGGGTAAACTCCATAAGGGCAAGGTAATTTAGAAGTGGTGTAACCTGCCTGTAAAGGTATAGAATTCATCTGATAAAAAATTCTCCTGTAGTTCTTTAATTGAAATCTGAAGAAAACTATGTCACCTGTTAAAAAGTATATATAACAGAAGCCACTAGTTGGGAGATACTCTTTTCATTCCTATAATTAGTTATATCTTAGACTAGTTCTTTAATAGAAAATTAGAGGTGATTTGCTATATAAAAGTGGTTATACAAGATATAAATAGATAGTTAGATTAATATATCATCGTAATAGAAAAATTGTAACTAATTTTATCATATATATGGCAAAATTATAAATAAAAAAAAAATAAAAAAAAAAAACTAGTCACTA